GAGTGTTTTCTGATATAGATTTCCTTTATAAGCCTTAAGAAGTCTGTCATCCCACGACAGATTATCATTACTTCGCCAGCCGACCGATTTAGGGTTAATGACATGGCGCTTGTTTAGTCGTATTCGACTATTGTAGTCATAGTCGACTTTTCGCGTTGTAAAGACCAGGAATGCTTAATCGATAGAACGTTGGACTTATAACCAGCACGAGTTAGGGTTCCTGTTGGGTCGCCTTTTTTCTTCTGAGCTTCATCAGTCAGTATAACTCTTTGGAAAGGAAGGAGACTACGCATTATGCTTTCAACATGGCTGCTGTCAACTGCTCCTTTAAAATAGAGCACTCCTGTCTGATATTATGGAACTTGAGATCAGCGCCCATCATCTACCATTAATAGATTTCATGAAAATTTAAGAAATATCAACATTCCAGATATTAGAAACTTTCCTTTGCCACATGGACACCAAAGTTAAATTTTTGAGAACTTCCGTTTATTACGTGGTACTGACAATAAAGTTTGATTTATTTCCCGAAAATACGGCTAAGATTATTCATAAATCTGGCATCCATTATATTTACTCTTTGTTAATATTGTATGTCAGAATGTTAGCACTATGTTTGTCGTGATCTTTGATAGGCGGTGATCAAAAGATTTCTTCACTGACTCTTTTGGGTATAAAATGGTGGTATGTTGACTACGTTGCGTTGCTTCATGTTCAGTGATATTAAAATCGATTTATTTAAAAATTAATTTCAAATATTTAAAGATTTAGGTTTCAAAAATAGTTTATGTTAAATTTTGAATCTTAGATTTTTTTATTTCTGCTAGTTAATGTTCATCGTTAAGGAGTCGATAGCAAGTACTTTGGATATTGTCATGTTGCTTTTCTGTATCGCTTTATCAGAAACTGACGTTTATCCTATATTATTTTGAAAGCTCTCTGAGTTCAGTTGGTGATGTGTGACTGAAACTCGTTCCTCTTTCAACATACATTTAAAGATCGAAATGTTAAAATTGGACTAAACTCAAGATCCTCTTGATGAAGCAATTGTACAGCTCTTCTTTAGAGGTGAAAGCAACGGAAAATTACCTGAAGCTTCGAAGGTGGTTATATTCGGCTTCAAAAGTATGTTTACACCGTTTCAGACGTAAATGATTCGTGCTTTTCAGTTCCCAGCAAGGCGATTGCTTCAGAGCAGTCAATCAGCGACCTAAAGCCGCTGCTGCTGTTGGTTTTCTACGTTGTAGAAAAGGTTCGGCGATTTCGGCTCACACGAGACGTAAGAATTAATATTATCAAATCTTTGGCAACCTCGCACTTGTACTGCTTGTTAGAAAAGAAAATTCGGTGGGTGACGGTAACAAATGCCATCCTCCCTTCAAAGAGATAACGTCATGATGTACAGGTTCACGAAAGCGTTTAGTAGGCTGGATTTTCAAGATTTTCGTCATTCATTCACTAAGAATGTTATGTTCTTCATTCTGTAATATTGCCCATCAGGCATCGTTCTACCAGGTCTTCAGTCGCTTTCTGTTCAGAGGGTACCTGCGAATCTAAAATAGGTTTTAAGTCCTATTTTCAGGGATTATCTCCAACGGTTGCTTCCTAGTCCTTCTGTTTTGATTAAGAATTTTTGTTTCCTTCTCCTAGACAAATCTCCTTAAGGGTATGAAGCGCTCTGTTGCCTAAGGTTACTGAAAGTTTGTTACCTGACCGTTTGACTCTTTTGGGAATACATTCCATTATACTTTGCCTTGACTGTGATCAGCGGATGGATTGCATTAAGGAAAGCACGGTGGGTAGCATCTTCATATGAGGAACTTCAGAATCTAACGTGTTTGCCTCTAATTGAAGTAGACACGCACATATTGACTAAATGCAAAGACGCTAGAGTGATATATTATTGATTCTGTGAATTGGCTTGTTTTCCAATTAGATACACTTATTGACGACTGAGTAAAACCTTACAAGTATGGAAGAGTATAAATTGCAAGAAAGAAATTAAAATTGATCTTATTGATACTCTGAATTTGCTGATCTGTGGTTTGCGCACCGAACAGAGCCGATGGTGATACCTTTGATGCCAACGAGTTTAGCTTTCACACCAGTAACATGGTTGAAACACTAATGTTAAAGCCGGCCCAAGCAACTATTTCAATACTTAAAATGAAATAGAAAACGAAGGCAGCAGAAACTGTAAGTGACAGATGGATTGTTCATCATGTCAATCTGGCGGTCCATATCGAGTTTGCTGTGACATACTTAGTTTTCACGTATCACGATGGAGCAGGCGTATTCTTTGTACATTCGCTGTTTCTGTGCTAGAATATGAGGGGACTGAACTCCTTTATGAGAAGGCCTGATCTCTGGTTGCTACCACGTACAGAAATGATTATTGACTAAGGAAGTGTTCCTCAGAAATTGCGTACTTTGCAATTGTAGAGTTGTGTATCTACGTGAGGCGGACTACGTATAGACATTCTTTATTCAGATGTTCTGATTCTAGTTCCTCGTCTCAATGTATATTTTCTCACAGTCATCGCAATCGGTTCTGTAAACAACGACCAACGCCTCGTCTGGGTGTTGAGTGTGTGCTTCTTAAATAAGCTGTCCACGTGTTTTATCAGGTTTGCGGTAGGCCGTAAATTTTGTTTTCGAGATATCTTTTGATTGCCTCAGACGCCTGGAGTATGTGTGGTAGATCTACCATCAGCCTAGTTTGAGGCACCGTTAAGCGTAACGCCTTGCGAGGCAGATGGTTTTTAACGTATAACGGGCTGGCAACCAGCCGCCAGGAACATTTTGAACAAGATGGCAGTACCTAAGAAGTGACATATCTTCAAAAGGGATGAAAAAGGATGACACGTTTTTTTGATCCAACTGGAATACTTGTACGGTACCCGGTACGATGCAGTGAAATGATCAGTAGAATATACCATATATTCTATTGATTAAACTCAGTTGCGCAGTAAAATCATTAATTTCTAATATTCATGTAGTAGATAATACTTTCTTCTGTAATATGATGCCACTTCTATGAGTCCTGGAA